GGAAGTTTGGAAGAGGGTAGAGTTTTAGGGTAAAGAAAACGTGTTCAAGTTTTTGACACGTTAAGTTTAAGATGTCTAGAGGACATCCAGTTTGAGATGTCCAATAGACAGTTGGAAATGTAAGGCCAGAGGTCAGGAGAAGTGTTAGGGCTGTATAAATGGATCTGAAAATCATCAGCATAGAGATGAAAATTGAATCTATGTGAGCTGGTGAGATCACCAATCAAAATAGCATAAAAGGAGAAGAGAGCCTGGGACAGATCCTTGGGGGTCACCCACAATTGGCAGGTGCAACATGGATAAACATCCAGCAAAGTAAACTGAGGAATGGTCATATAGATAGGAGGAGAACTAGGAGAGAGCAGTGTCATGTAAACCTAGAAAGAAGAAAGTATCAAGGAGAAGAGAGTGATATGTCAAAGGCTACAGAAAAGACAAGAAAGATAATGGTTGAGAAAAGGCTACTGAATTTGGCAATCAACAGAGCATTGGTACCCATAACTCAAATGAAGAGATATGAAAAGACAGCCCCAACCCACCCATTCATGGAAATAGGAGATCCATTGGTATTGCACATTGCACTTGTTTTCAGATTTTTTCAACGTATTGATTAGTTATGCTGATTATTTTTCTTTTTTTAAAAAATACTTTGTTATACGGGATGGTTCTCTGTGAGGGTGAGGGAAGAGGGGAGGATACTAGGGATAACTATGGTGATGTAAGAAACAGAAGACATCAATACAAACCTATTAAGAAAAAGGAAAAAATGAAATCATTAGTAACTGTGGAGAAAGCATGATGAGCTTGGAAGCCAAACTGCAAAAAATCAAGAGAAAGTGAGAAAAGGAAATGGAGGCATTTATTGTAGACAGTTCTCTCTCTCTCTCTCTCTCTCTCTCTCTCTCTCTCTCTCTCTCTCTCTCTCTCTCTCTCTCTCTCTTTCTTTTTGGCAACTGGCATTAAGTGACTTTCCCAGGGTCACACAGCTAGTAAGTGTCAAGTGTTTGGTCTGAGGCTGGATTCAGGGCTGGTGCTCTATCCACTGAGCCACCCAGCTGCCTCTAATGTAGACAGCTTTCTTAAGGAGTTTTAACCATAAAAGGGAGGAGACATATGGGAAAATAGCTGGCAGGGATGGACCAAGGAAATACCAGGCCTAGTCTTTATCCCTATTTAAATATCATTCTAAAAACTTCAATTCCTAGTATCCTCAACCCATTCTCCTGCCACAATTACTTCAAAAGTGAAAGGGGTCTGTATAGGATAGAAGGACATTTTGTAGTTTTCTTTATTCAGTAGGTTGCCATGTACAAAGAATTCATCACCTAGTGGCCAGCCTCCTGGTAATGTACTTAGTTGGGCTGCTTCTCTGGAAGCAGTCTCTTAAGGGTGACTATACTCAAAATCCCTCCAGAATGATAGGATCTGAAGTTCAGCTTTAGAGCTGAAAGGGATCTCTGAAACAGTAAGTGGCACTGTCAGGACTTGAATCTATATCCCCTGACTCCAAATCAAAGTCCCTAAAGTTTATACTTTGATGGCACAGCCTTCAAAAACCTATTAAGTATTTTGTTATTATATTATTATATTATATAAGATTATGAGTATAAGTGTCAACAGATGATCCTATTTGATAAACAAACCCCCCAAATATAGTATGTTTGCTATACCATGAAAACTCTGTCTGCTCAGTCACCACCCTAGTACAAGCCCTCCTCATTTCTCATCTGGACTATTATAACAGGTTTGGTACTGGCTTCCCCACATCATGTCTTTCCCCTCTCCAATCCAACCTCCAAGCCAAGAATTTTTTATTAGGTGCTCACTATGTGCTGAGCCCTCTCCTAAGGGCTGGAGATATAAAGGCAGAAAATATATTCCTTGCTGACAAAGGAGAGACAACATGCAAATAAATATCTAAGTACATCCAAGACACAGTCTAAGTGGAAGGCAATCTCAGAGAGAAGGGACTAAAGGATGGAGGCATTTGTGAAAGACATTCTGAAGAAGGTAGAATTTGAGCTGAGGCTTGAAAGAGGCCTGTTATTCTGAAGTAGAGGTGAGGAGGAAGAGCATTCTAAGCATGGGAGAAAGTGAAAATGTATGGAATTGGGAGATAGAGTGTCATGTGGGAGAAACAGCAAGTAGGCCAATGTAATTGGATCATAGAATAAGGGAAGGAGAGTGAAGTTGTAAGAAGACTGGAAAGGTAGGAAGAAGCCAGATTACAAAGGGCTATAAATGCCAGTGGAATTCTATTTGGTCTTGGAGGCAACAGGGAGCCACCAAAGTTTTTTGAGCAGGTGGGATGATGTGATCAGACCTGGCTTTAGAAAATCATTTTGGAAGCTAATAAATGTAAACAGTTTGTCATTTAAAACCCTTGACAACTTGGCCCTTTCTCACCTTTCACTCTTCTTACATGTAACTTTCTTTGTCATATGCTTTGATCTAGCCATACTGGTCCTCCATGCCTGGAATACAAACCTTTCTCTCCTCCACATCCTGGAACTCCTAGTTTCTTTCAAGACTCAGCTGAAATGCCTATTTCGAAGTTTAGGTTCTTAATCCAGGGTCCATGAACTTATTTTTTAGATAGTTTGATAACTGTACTTCATTATAATTGGCTTCCTTTGTATTCCTACGTATTTTTAATGCATTTTAAAACGTTATTCTGAGAACAGGTTCATTGGTTTCACCAGATTGCCAAAGGGATCTTTGACACAAAAAAGGTTAAGAACCGCTGCTTTACATGAAGCCTTTCCTGAAAAGAATAATTACTAGAATTTATATAGCACTTTAGGTTTTTCAAAACTACTTTTTATATGTTATCTTACTTGATCTTCACAATTCTATATATATGTCATCTTGTTTGATCTTCAAAATAACTTTGAGGTAGGTATTATTACTTTCTCCATTATTACAGAAAAGGAAACTGAGGCTGAGAGTTCTTTGATTTGTCCAATGTTATACTGATATTAAGAGTCTGAAAGCCGGTCATCCTGATTTGGGGCATTTAGGTGGCACAGTGGATTAGAGAACTGGGCCTAGAATCAGGAAGGCTCATCTTTCTAAATTCAAATCCAGCCTCAGACACTTTCAAGCTATATGATGCTGGGCAAGTCACTTAGTCATGTTTGCCTCAGTTTCCTCATCTGTAAAATGAACTGGAGAAGGAAGTAACAAACCACTAGTATCTCTGTCAAGAAAACCCCAAATGGAGTTCTGAAGGATCTGACAACTGAAAAATGATTGAAACAACTCCCTGATTTAAGTTCTGAGATTTATCTACTATAATAGCTCTAGCTACTGGTGTCCTCCTTCTCTCAACCTTATATTAATTCTATGTATGTGTGTGTATGTGTGTGTGTATACGTACATACACGTATAGATATGTGTATATAGTGTATATATACACACATACACACTATTAATATACATATACATGTAGACATATATATGTGTATGCATGTATGTATTTTTATACATATATTGTCTGTCCCCTTAGAAGGTATGTTCAAGTCCTGCTCACTTTTTGCCTTTGAATTCCTGGGGCACAGCATTGTTTTGAACATAGCAAATCCTTAATAAATGTTTGTTAAAAGCAAGTTAGCAAACACTACAGAAAAAAAATCACACTATAGTTGGAAAGACTAAATGTATGGTCCAAATGCAGTTATACATGGTAGTCCAGCAAATTGTATTCCCATGTTCCCCTATTTAGGACTTTTGTTACTAATCCCCTCCAGGCATCCTTCTTATATTCAATATGCATTTATTAAAGACCAACTATGTGCAAATCCCAACTATTTACTACTTGTATCCACAGTTGTTTAACACAGTACATGGCACATAGCAGGGTTTAATAAATGTTTATGGAATGAGCATGAATTCCAGTCCCTGCCTACAGACCAGCAGATGAAACTCCAAGTCAACCTAAGGCTAAGATTTATGATTGTTGTTGTTGTTGTTGTTAACAAGTCTATTAGGTGAGGAAGCTAATGGGATTTCTTGACAATCCTTGCTTTCTCTAGAGCTCTCATTTTCTGGAATGAGGACTATACCTGGGAAGCTGTCTCAGTGAAGGTGGAAAATGCATGGGTGACCACTGAGCAATTTTCCTGGATTTTTACAAAGGTCACATTCTGTGGGTTAGTCTTTGTCATTAATTTTCAACTAGGGCAGAAATCCACTAACTTGTGTTTTGTTTTGTTTTGTTTCTTAATGTTCTGATAATTGTATTTTATTGGTTTTCTTTATAATCTTTATAATCTTATATAGTTTACCCATTTAAAATTAACTTTAATAAAAATTATTTTGGGAAGGTGTCCACAGGATTCACCAGAAAGTGTTCCATTCAGGACACAAAAATGTTTGATTTAGAGGAAATTGAGGATTTCCTGAATTTTCCTCTCCTGTTAAGCTTATCCCTAGAATGACCCATTTGGGATACAGAATCATAGGCTCATGGTTCTAGGGCTGGAAGGGACCCCACAGGTCATCAAGTTTAACCCCCTTCATTACAGATGAAGAAACTGAACACAGTTTTATGTCTGAGGTGAATTTGAACTCAAATCTTCCTGCCTCCAGGTCCAGCTCCAGGAGCCCACAAGCACACATCGACCCACATCCTAAATTCTTGCCATTAACTTGGAGCCAATTTCCCCCTGCACCGAATATCAGTATCCCCTTCCTTCCCAATTCCTGCTTCTTCATTTTATCTCCTTCCCCTTCTCTGGCCCCTGTTCCCTCTCCCTCAGGGAGGCGTTCCCACTCCAGTCATCCTACTGCATATGAAAGGGGGGAAATGAGGCAAGATCATGATGGCCGCTTCCCAAAGCCAGAGATCAACCGGCCCATTTGCAGAAGGGCCACACTGGGGTCAGCACCTCCCCCCACCCCTCCCTGCCCACCCAGGCCTATTCCCCGCCTTCTTCATATACACCACTTCCTTTGGTGGCTCCACTCCTTTAACCGGGGGGTTGTGCCTAGGGACCCACCTCGGGCTGGTGCTCCAAGGTTACAAACAGCTACGGTGTTGCTGAGTTATTCTTCCCGGCCCAGGTGGAGTTGCTTTCTTTCTCCAGCTTCCGGTCTCAGCTCCGGCGCTGATGTAGGGTGCAGGAGGTAGAGAGCTGTCCTTGTAGTCAGGAAGACTTGGATGCAAGGTTTTCCCTCTGACACATTTGATGTTGTTTGTCCTTCCTTTTTTCAAATCAGGGGCTGACTTCTTGACTTTTGACTTAATTGGATTTAAGTGAGGCAGAGTTGCACAAAGTCCTCAGCCTCACTCTCTTTTCAAGTCATCCAAGTCCAATGGCGAGACAAAAGTCCAGAAGTTGGTGACGGCATGGGATGCAGTGGATGACCTTGGCCTCTTAGATAGCTGACCAAGCTGTAAGTACCTGCAGCTCCCGTGCCTTCCTGGCCTTGGAAGAAATTGTTCTCTTGGAGGGAGGGGCGGGGCGGAGTGGGGAAGGGAGGGGGGAAGTGGGGAAGGGAGGGAAGGCTACCTCTGACACAGACATAGGCTATGAGATAGTGGACACATTACTTAATTTCTCAGGGCTCTGAGCTCTTGTTGGGGATGGAAAGCTTTCTACCCAACACTTAAAATAAAGGCTCAAGACAGACCAGCCCTAGAAGAAAAGCCAGGAGGGCTTTTTTTTTTAATATAAATTTATTTATTTTTAGTTTTCAACATTCCCTTCCACAAGTTTTTGAGTTCCAAATTTTCACCCCATCTCCCCCTCCCCCCACCCCAAGATGTCATGCGTTCTGAATATCCCTTCCCCTACTCTGTCCTCTCTTCTATCTCTCTCCCCCTCTCTTATCCCCTTCCCCTTCTATTTTCCTGTAGGGCAGGATAGACTTCTGTACCCCATTTCCTATATTTATTTCCCAGTAGCATGTGAAAACATTTTTTTAAACATATGTTTTTAAAACTTTAGGTTTCAAATTTTCTCTCTTCCTCCCTCCCCACCCACCCTCATTGAAAAGGCAAGCAACTCAATATAAGTTGTACATGTGCAGTTATGCAAAACACGTCCATAGTAGACATGTTGTGAAAAACTAACTCTATTTCCCTTAATCCTATCCTGCCCTCCCATTTATTCTATTCTTTCTTTTGACCCTCTCTCTCCTCAGAAGTATTTACTTCTAATTAACCCCTTTCCCAATCTGCCCTCCTCTCTATCATCCCCCTGCTCTCTTGTCCCCTTTCCCCCCTATTTTCCTGTAGGGTAAGACAGATTTCCATACCCAATTGAATGTGTATGTTATTCCCTCCTTAAGCCAAATCCTATGAGAATAAGATTCACTCATTCCCTCTCACCTTCCCCTGTTTCCCCTTCCACTGTAAGAGACTTTTCTGGTTTTTTTTGTGAGATAATTTACCCCATTCTACCTCTCCCTTTCTTCTTCTCCGAGTATAATCCTCTCTCATCCCTTAATTTTATTCTCCAGATATGACCCCTTAATCTTCAGCACACCCTGTGCCCTCTATCTATCTATATATACATACATATAATTTTTTTCCTCCAACTACCCTGATACTGACAAAGGTCTCATGAGTTATAAATATCATCTTTCCATGCAGGAATGTAAACAGTTCAATCTTAATAAGTCTCTTATGATTTCTCTTTCCTGTTTACCTCTTCATGTTCCACTTGAGTCCTGTATTTGAAAGTCAAATTTTCTATTCAGCTCTGGTCTTTTCATCAAGAATGCTTGAAAGTCCTCTATTTCACTGAATGACCATTTTTTCCCCTGAAGGATTATACTCAGTTTTGCTGGGTAGGTGATTCTTGGTTGTAATCCTATCTCCTTTGCCCTCCAGAATATTATATTCCATGCCCTGCGGTCCTTTAATGTAGAAGCTGCTAAATCTTGTGTTATCCTGATTGTGTTTCCACAGTACTTGAACTGTTTCCTTCTGGCAGCTTGTAATATTTTCTCCTTGACCTGGGAACTCTGGAATTTGGCTATAATATTCCTAGGAGTTTTCCTTTGGGGATCTCTTTCAGGAGGAGATCTGTGGATTCTTTCAATTTCTATTTTGCCCTCTGGTTCTACTATATCAGGGCAGTTTTCCTTGATAATTTCTTGAAAGATGATGTCTAGGCTCTTCTTTTGATCATGGCTTTCAGATAGTCCAATAATTTTTAAATTCTCTCTCCTGGATCTATTTTCCAGGTCAGTTGTTTTTCCAATGAGATATTTCACATTGTTTTCTAATTTTTCATTCTTTTGGATTTGTTCTACTGTGTCATGATTTCTCATAAAGTCACTATCTTCCAATTGCTCTATTCTAATTTTTAAGGAAGTATTTTCTTCAGTAAGCTTTTGGACTTCCTTTTCCATCTGGCCAATTTTGCTTTTTAGGGCATTTTTCTCCTCATTGGCTTTTTGGACCTCTTTTGCCATTTGGGTTAGGCTATTTTTTAAGGTGTTATTTTCTTCAGTATTTTTTTGGGTCTCCTTTAGCATCACTCTCAGTTTTTCCTCTACTTCTCTAACTTGCTTCTCAAAATCATTTTTGAGCTCTTCCATGGCCTGGGACCAATTCATATTTTTCTTGGAGGCTTTGGATGTAGGGGCTTTGACTTTGTTGTCTTCTTCTGGTTGTATATTTTGGTCTTCTTTTTCACCAAAGTAAGATAATATAGTCTGACTCTTTTTGCGCTGCTTGCTCATGATCCCAGCCAATTACTTGAGTTTTAAACTCTTTGTTAAGGTACGAATCTGCTTCCAATGTGGAGAATGTACTGTCCCAAGCTTCGGGGGTTTGTACAGCTGTTTTCAGAGATACTTGTAGGGACCTGTAAATTTTCAGTTCTTCCAAGGTGGTATGATAAGGGGCAAGGTGTTTACTCCTTTCCTGGCCTGCGACTACAAGTACTCCTTTCTGTCCTGTAACTGTGATGAGGGGCACCACAACCACTACAAGCTCCACCAAGCCAGCGCTCCTCCTCCCCCCAGCACCGCTGCCCAGAACTGTGGCCCAGATCCAAACACGGGCAAAGCAAGAGATTCCTGCCTCAGCACTGGCAAAGAGATCCCTGCAATCCCTCTCTGATCAGCCACTGGATTCCCCCTCAGTCTGTGGGCCGGAAGCTCAGGAAGCACCCCCCCCAGGGCCACGCTCTTGGGGAATGGAGCTGAAACCCCACCTTCCTTTCTCAGGCACCGACAGAAACAGACTTTTCCCACTGACCTTCTAATTTGTCTTTGGCATTGGTGGATTGAGGAGTCTGGAAACCTCCACAGCTGCCCGAGATTCAGTCCTCTGAGGCCCGCTCCAGGTTTGCTGCAGCCTGCGCACCCACACTGCGGCCTGTGCACCCACACCGCGCTGCGCTGCGCTTCCAGCCCGGCACGATACACCTTTCTGATCAATCATCCAGGTTGTCTTGGGCTGGAAATTTGTTTCACTCTGTCTTTTTGTGGGTTCTGCTGCTTCAGAATTTGTTTAGAGCCATTTTTTATGAGTATTTGGAAGGGTTTGGAGGAGAGCTCAAGCAAGTCACTGCTTTTACTCTGCCATCTTGGCTCCGCCCCCCCAGGAGGGCTTTTAAAGCCCACCAGGGGAGGTTTTCTGCTGCTGCGAGGTTACCTGCTACTTTTCTGAGAGTTGTAAAACATCTTGGGGCTTTAAACTGAAATAGTACTTTCGCATTTTTTTCTCTCTTTTTAAAAATTCATTTTTTTAAATTTTTAGGTCCAAATTCTCTCCGTTCCCTCTTCCACATCAATTGAGAAATCAAGAAAATGAAAACTTGTTAGAAATATATGTACTCTAGCAAAAAAACAAAACAAAACCAAAACTCTTAATCATTCTTGTCCAAAAGGGGAAAAAAGAAAAAAATGAGAAGAAAATATGTATTGTTTGTGAGAACAAACCCCAAAATCTCAAATAGTTTTAGAAAAAAATTTATTAGGTCTTTAGGTAGAGGATAGTGAGCTGAAAAGGAGATGTGGCTCCCTCTCCTCCAGGCTCTGGAAGGTTTAAAATATATAGGATTTAGACCTGGGTGACAGACAATGTGGTGTATTGATTTGGTATGTAATTGGTCCTTTTCAACATAGAATAACAATAACATTCCCAGTAGCATTGTTGCCCTGATCAGGTGTTCCCTAGGTATGAGCCCATCCTTCAATAACATACACTCTTCCCACTGATAGTGTATATGCATTTATGAAGGGGTATGCCCAAGCTGATAAGGGAAATGTTTTAGTGCATCTCTGCTTACCGATGTTACATTATTAAATCTCTTTGCTTATGCATCCAAAAATGATTAAAGAATATTCCTTATAACCAAGTAAGGTTGCAGGAGGGCTAGGGGGAGGCTACATTCTTCCAAATCTAAGTCAGCAATTGGGGTGGTGGTAGAACAGCAACTCCAAAGATGAATTACCAGTTTTCCCTTTTTGTATAAGAAAAGACTTATCCCTGACTGTGTTAGAAGTTCTCTTTCCTTTTTGGTAATTCAGCATGGTAATTGATGAAAAGGAAGATGTAATTTGCTGCCTCCACATCCACATCAATTCTCTGATAACTTTTGGTGCAGTAATCAGTTGAAGTGGACTAGAACATTAAAGAGTAACATTTCTAGATTTATTCAAGGTAGGCTAACAAGGAAACTATGGAGGGTCTAATCCAGGGGTGGGGCCTCAAGGCGACACACGTGGTCCTCTAGCTCCTCAAGTACCTCCCTTTCAATCTAAACTTCAAAGAGCAAATCCCCTTAATAAAAGGGGATTTCTTCTGTAAAACTTGGGCTTAGTGAAAGGGCTGAATCCAAAGACCTAGAAGGCCAAATGTGGCTTGGAGGCCCTAGGTTCTCCATGCCTGGTCTAATCTATTATTTCAGTTGCTATGTGCTCACTTGGATGTTGATGGACATTTGATTTATGAAGTTATTAGTGGGAAAAGAGATGGACTTCTTCTTCTCCTCCTAACCAGCTGCTGTATCACCCTGAAGATATCTACATCCTGAGGCCCCAATTTCCTGATTGATGAATGTACGCCTACCAGATACAAAGTATACAAAGCAAAAATAAGCCTTTGCTATTTAGTCTGTCATGTTTTCATCACTGTGATCTTTCCACCCAAACAAATCATTTAACATGTACTTTCTTAGGAATAGGAAGGCCACTGAGAGTGCCAGAAGGCTCTCAATCAGTTCTTCCATGATGAGACTGAGACATTGATAAGTTCCCATTCTGATATGAGGTGTTAAAATAACAAAGAATGAGATCTGAAATACAAATGCATTAACATTATTCA